AAGGTCTCGGCAACCCACTTTTCCCAGCAGAACTGGATGGGTGCGTTATGCTTGAAAAAAAGTTCACCTGGATGCGAGGAGCCTGAGATTCTGGAAGACCTGCAAGTAGGCCGAGTTTAGGCACAGCTTCGAAGGAGCATGTGTGAAGATAACGAAATTAATGAACTTGTGATTAAATGCGCACCATGCCACGTGACTGATTTGTCTGATGTCACTCCTATGAAAGGGTTGGAATGGAGGAGGGAACAAGTATTCCTGCCTTCCTCTTGCCTTTTCTGGGTGAACAGAAAGGGCAAAAATACGGAGGGAGAGCCCTCTCCAGCTCCTCAAAATCTGATTGGTGCATTATTTTGAGAAAACCATTGAGAGGAACCAATGGACGTTGTAGACCCCCTGCACACAAAGCAAAGACTGTGCAAAATTGGTGCAGGTCGGAACTCTCCGGAATTTATGATATTGAATGCAGGCAAGCAGGCGGGCGAGAGCAGGTTAATTCTCTCATTTCAAATGCAATGGATTATTCTGCATGGAGTATGTTGAAGACGATGGCCTGGCCTTAGACAACATCGAAACATTGATGCATCTACACCACCTATCTACACACACCCACAATATTTCCTGGACGTCCTCGATGGTGGACTCCAAGAAGAACTGCTGAATTCTGTTTGAAAACTTCCCACATACATTCATTTTTATTGTTGTCCACTTATGTTTTTTGAGCACAACGTTTCCTACGACCAATTTATCTTGTTACCGTAATTTTGCGCACCCTGCATATTCATTTTTATTTCGAAAGTGGCCATTGAGGCAACAAGAAAATTGATCAGCTTGACTTTGTATCTCAACATCAAGATCGAACCGTGGCTATTTGTACTACTGTGGGTGTCTTCCTCAGCGCGCAAGCATTGTAACAGTTTGCTGCACATTCCTTCTGATCCTTTTCTGGCGCTGATATAGCTATGGTAAGTCGAAAAAGGAGGCGTATAGCTAGCACCTGGAAAGCTGGAAGATATTTAGTATATTATTTGACCTGTTTCAATTTAGCAGGTGGCAAAATATGTTTTTTTCCTCCCTCTAGACCTGCCTTTGCTT